GGACTTTTGGAGGAGAGGTGGGTAGAGTTGGCAGTCTGCCGCCTCACGGTGGGTTTTCCAGCAGGGGTCACTCTTGGAGTCAATGTTGGAAGAGCCCTAGTAGTTAGAAGCCAAAGTCCTAGGCCATCAGATGGCAACACTGGTCATAGGTACCTTCTAAGCTTGTTGTCTGCCAACCCTGGAGCTATTTCCCAGGAGCATCTCGATGGAGTCCATGTCTTACAGTGAGCAGGAGACAGCTTAGTCTGCAGATCCACGTAGAAAGAGATGAGAGGAAACCGGCTAGGTAGCAGGTCCTTTTTGAAGGTGGGAAAAGCCAGTCTTTTGTTCTTGTTTTGTTTACAAGTGTAGTTCTGGCTGGCCTGGTACTCTGTAGGCCAGCCTGGCCTCAAACCTGCTGTAATATGCCTGCTTCTACCTCCCAAATGCTGGGAATATCCTGTTATGGAGACAGATGTATCTCCAAAATCCAAATTTGTTTAGATTTGATGGTTTGTCCATTTTTGTCATTTAACACATATTGGGGGGGGGGCTCACTTTGCTAAGTAGCTCCGTGCCCTCCCTCTCTGCAGCCTGGCCATTGGCAGATAAGAGGGAAGGTGACTCTTCCAGGGGCTGTGTGTATATGCTGAGGTGGGAAGGAAGATCAGATGCCTGTATGATTAAAACAAAGCCACATAGATCTGCTGCAGAGAAAGAAAAGGAAGTTGGTCTCTTCAAATTGGAATTGGATTAGTGACAGACTCAAACAGCCAGTTCAGTCAAGAGAGAACTTAATTCCTCCTGTATTATTCACAGGGCTGATTGTAATCAGATGTGAAGAGACAGCTGGAAGAGAGCAGCAGGTCAGCCTATGCCTACTGAGGAGGCTGCATGTTCTTTTAGTCATCTTTAGGGAGGAAGCTGGCAAGAGCCTATTGGATTGGGCACTCTGAGCAGGTTCCTCGTGGTTTCTAGCCTTCCCACAGGAGCAAGGCTTGATTGTCCAGATGCTTGTGTTGACCTTGTCTGGATCCAGTGTGAGTTTTGAAGGTCTGTATGATAGAGTGTAGCAGAGTGGTCACTGGTCAGCGTGAGCTCACCTAGCTTGTTCACAGATTCAGGGAGGGACACCAGACCCTGGCAGGCCCCAGAATTGACCCAGCATGGAACATGGGACCTGGTGGCATATCCATGTCATGAGCATTTCAGTCTCACTGCCTGATGAAGTGTAGGGCTCTCCTTGTCCTGTCTAGTCTCTCAGGTATCTTAGTGGTATGAGCAGAGCCTGCACCCATATTAAAGGGGTCTGCCTCCACAGCCACAGGGAACAGATTGAACTCTGGGATACTGCACCCCACATTCAAATGATGCATCTCCACAGCCAAAAGCACACGTGAATGCTTTATTTGGGATTCTGCGCCCCGCATTTAAGGGATCCACTTCCACAGCCAAAGAGCGTACATGAACATTTTGACTGGGATTCTGATGGTGGCTAGGGTCTTTGGTTGGTTGATTTTTCTTTCTTTAAAGATTTATTTATTTATTTATTTATTTATTTATTTATTTCATGTGTATGAGCACACTGTCCCTGTCTTCAGTCACATCAGAAGAGGGCATCGGATCCCATTACAGATGGTTGTGAGCCACCGTGTGGTTGCTGGGAATTGAACTCGGGATCTCTAGAAGAACAGTCACTGCTCTTAACTGCTGAATCATCTCTCTAGCCCCCAGTTGGTTGGTTTTTCAAGACAGGGTTTCTCTGTATAGCCCTGGCTGTCCTGGAACTCACTCTGTAGAGCAAGCTGACCTCAAACTCAGGAATCTGCTGCCTCTGCCTCCCAAGGGCCAGGATTAAAGGCGTACGCCACCATCCTCCACCCCCTCAGCTAAGGCTGGAATGTTAGTGGAGTCGTCTCCATAGTACTCGCTGGATCTTACAGATGTGTTGCTGTGCTGTGTGCATAGAGATCCAGTCCTGTCACTGGGCAACAGGACAGCTTAAGTGTTGTTGTGGGCTTGTGGATATGAAACTCTCATAAGAAACCCAGGAAGTTTGTTGAAGGACTCAACCTGTTCCACTTTGTCTATGCCTGAGCCTTTCCTTTCATGAGCACCTCCTGCTTGAAGCTCTAAGTGTGGAAACTAGCCTTCTAGGATGATCCTTGCCTGTATCAGAGACAGTGGGTAGAAAGAGATCCCACGGGTCAGCTCGCCCACAGAATGCCTAGCCAGGAGCACAGTCAACAGAAACAAGTGGCAGTGCCCAAGACAAGAGCTTCCTGGGCTCTGGAATGCCTCCTTTGTGGGGCTCAACGGGTGCCTTGAGTGCATACTAAACAAGAGGGGCTCAAGGCTTCTCCCCAGTACCCTTGAATCACACTGTCTGCCTCCTTCCTGCATGGCTCTGCCCTCCAGTCCTGCCAGGAGGAGGGCATTTGATGTCTTAAGATAAAGGGTACTGCTGAGGGAGCAGAGGTGGCCACTGGAAGCAGTCCAGCAGTACGAAGTGAGCACACACTATAAATTCCTTAGACTTCAGGTTTCCTGATGGAAGTAAAAGTGCCAAGAACTGCATGGTAAGGGCAGAAGGTAGGGTAGTCTGTCGGACCTCCCTTTGAACCAGTTGGTGACCATAGGACGCTCTCAGCTACCCTGTGCAATGGATTTATGAGCCTTGGAGCCACTGGAACCCCACTCTCCTGCATGATCTATAGTGGTGGCTGTGCTCTCAGCCTGTGCTGCCCTCTGCACTGAGGACAGACCCCCTTCTGGAGAGAGAAGAGGTCATCTCTCCCTGCAGCGCAGCACTGGTGAGGTTCTGGTAGGCACTTCTTCCCTCCAAGAGAACTTTGCACCCTAGCAAGCTCATGCTTGAGTATCTGGAAACAGATGCTGCCAAAACCCTCCCCAAGCACCTTGAGGGGACAGCCAACATGCTTGGGTAGTGGATCCAGGAATTCTTGGTGCCAACATTGTTGAAACAGGCAAGAGACTTTCAGAGGCCCCCACTGTCTGGGCGTCCTGCCTAGGGAAGTAGCCAGGCCTCTCAGGGCAGTGTCTATCCTGACTCAGAGGCTGGCACAGTGCATGGCCCTTCTGCCTGAATCTTATCCTAACCAGGACTTGGCTCTGCTCTGCTTCCCCTGATGGGGTTTGATGCCACCATTAGGAACGATAGCTGATGGATCCTCAGCGTGAACCAAGTGGGTGCTGAGTATTTTCTCTGCCACCCTATGAGAAAGTGCTGCATCACCTTGTGTCACAGTTGGTTTAAGTCGCACTGTGCTAACATTTTATTGAAAGTGGCTATGGGTATGTCCTATCCCTGCTTGCAGGCTCCTTATCCCAAGAAACCTCCCGAGGTTGTCTCAGAATTGTGGGGACACCTTTTGATTCAAACTCTTCCCTGAGAGGATTTTTGTCCTAGATCTCTGGGACCATCTTCTCCTTTACTGCCCTGGTCCCCATTATCATGGCGCACACCCCCACTGCAGGAGAGACCCAGCCAAATGCAGTTCCTGTCTGGAGGGTGTTTGCTCCAGCAAAGAAAAGCTCTCTCCATTCCTGGCAGAACTAGGCTTCCATGGAGCTTCTGGAATTGGTTCTGCCGAAGAAAACAGCTCAGATGCCTCCTTGCATTCAGCTTGTTAGTCGGGAATTTCAAGGCCAAAAGATTTGGCAGGATTTAAAGAGTCGGCTCTCAAGCTGTCTCGTTTTGAGCACACTAATGCTGCCTGTCTTTTTTTTTTTAAAGATTTATTTATTTTATTTATGAGTACACTGTAGCTGTCTTCAGACACACCAGAAGAGGGCATCAAATCTCATTACAGATGGTTGTGAGCCACCATGTGGTTGCTGGGATTTGAACTCAGGACCTCTGGAAGAGCAGTCAGTGCTCTTAACCACTGAGCCATCTCTCCAGCCCCCGCTGCCTGTCTTTTGATGGTAAAGTGGGTTCACAGTCTCCCTCTCCTGCCCTTTGTAGAGCTTTGGTAAGTACCGCAGACTCTTCAGAATCAGAGACTACTGAAGGACCAGACCAGCTAGCCTGTCCCATTGCTTTCCAACACAGGAGTGAGGTTCAGAGATAGCAGGAGTGTTTACTGAGGCCACACAGTGAGCTGCAATGGAAATGACAGCCTCCTGTCTCCCACTTAGTTACAACTGTGACCCATTCCTTATTCGATCCGCTCAGTAAACATAGTCTGTTCTCCCACTCAGAGCCGAGCACTGAGGTGAACACTTTGGGGAACGAAGATGGACAGTGCAGTTGCTGACACACACTCCTTCCTGGGAAGGCCTGGGGCTGCATCAAGAACATATAATCTTGCCCCAAGGGCACCAATTCAGGAGCAGCTTGAAATAGGTGCCTATGCCAGATGCTTCTGTCTGAGGAGAGGCTGGGAGACAGCCCCAGAGTCAAGGACTTGGGACCTTCTCTATTTTCCCAGCCCAGACCTTCTTGGTGGCATCTTCCTGTCATGCATAGGAGAGTCTGGTCTCAGCTTCCAGGCCACAGGCAAGTCTGCTTTGGAGTCACCCAGAAGTAGGACCAGAGAGAACAAAACTTTTCATCTGATACAGGCCCTCTTTACCTGAGACCATGCTGCCTTGCCCTAGGTGTAAGAACTTGTGAGGCTTTCAAACCTGGCTCTCAGCCCAGAGAGTTGGTGCAGTACAAACAGCAGGATGGGAATTGGTGCTTTAGAGCCAGAGAAACATGAGTGTCACAAACTAGACGCCCCCTGGGAAAAGGTTATGTGATAGACATGTTTCTACTGACATGTGTCTGTCCACCAACCATCCTTCCTGGCATGTCATCTGTCATTTTGCATTTGAATCTTGGAATAAATCTGAATCCTTATCTGGGCTTGACCACCAGTATCTTGAACATCTATTGGACAGGGTTTCTTGGTCACTCCAAGCCACTGTTGAGGTTGTTCCCTGCAGCAAGATGGGCTGTGCTGTTCTGTGAGACCTGTTCTGTTCTCTTTCAGCTTCTTCTCTTCTTTCTACAGCTCACTCTACAGAGCGCCAAGTCCCGAGTGGCCTTCTTTGAAGAACTCTAGCAGGTGACCTGACCACCTCCTGCCACATCTGCTGCTCCTGGCACCAACAGGATGGGCCTGACCCCAAAGGAACCATCGGTAGAGGGCTGGCTTGTTTGGGAATTCTTGAGTAGGGGGTCCAGTTCCCTTCGTGTTCAGTTGTTTTTGAACTCTAACATTATAGAGATTTCTCAAAGTGTTCTAGTTCTTCTAGCCTCCCCCCCCCCTCTCTCTCTCCTCTCTCTCTCTCCCCTCCCTCCCTCCCTCTCTCTCTCTCTCTCTCAGAAATATTTGTTGTGCATGGGCTGCATCCTTCCTGCACACTGGACACTGTTGTAAATGTTGCTGTGCATGCTGCTGACTTTGGGAAGCAGCTGTAGGAGTCCAGTATGGAGACTGTCTGAAATCTACCGTGCAGGTGCCACCCACTCCCCAACTGGGGTTCTGAGATGGGCCTCCCCTCCACAATAAGGACCTGGCACAGTCTAGAAGTATGAACTGGCTTAGCTCAGAACCAGCAATGATGGTTCCTTAGCCAGGCTCACCTGAGGTAGTGTAGTTGTCTGACTGGCAGGAAACAGGCAGGACAGTTGTGGCTAGGAAGAGGCTTAAGATAAAAGCTGCTGGGAGACAGTGTGCACATGCATCCTTCAGTCTTAGCCACCTGCCCGTGGTGGACCAGGACTTCCATCTCCTTCTACTCAGCACATGGAACCCCAGAGCCCTGCTACCCAACCATCATCCTCTTCAATACCTAGACCTCATTGTCTTTGTCTTCCCCAGGGGCCCAGCAGTGTCCTTTTTGTCTCTTCTTTCCTGAACCTGACACAGGTATCAGGCCACTCACAGCAGTCACACAAGCTAACACTATGGGTTGCCTACATACTGGCAGCAAATGCTTACCATGTTCCTCACACACTCCATGCTTGGGCCTATCTTCTATGTCACTACTATAGCCAATCACAGCCTGCTAAGTCCTAACAGAGCAGGTGCTATGCCTCAGTCCACAAACAGATGTATTAACCGAAGACAACTGAGCTGAGGGGCTGAGCAATGGAATGTTCCACAGTATAGTTGTTTTTGAGAAACTGAGGCACACCACCTTGTTCCCACTAGCTGGCTATTGTTAGGCCACTTTGCCATAGGCAGCCACCTAAGGGTCACCTCAGCATCTGTGGTCATCTGGCACTCTAGTCTGGAACCTAAGGTTGAGGAGAAGTCCTCTGGACTTGACACCCCAGTATTTGCCAAGTCTTCCCTGGCTCTGAAGTTGAGCTGTCTTCTCTAGCCTGAAACTCCTCTCTGACTTTCTTCCTCTCTGTACACTTGATCTAACAATGGTTGTGGAACACAGGACAGTGATGCTGGCTCATAAAAATTATGCCAGGCCTTGTTTTTTAAAATTTAACTGTGCTTTATATCTCAAACTTGGGAAATGCCAAGCTATATAACCACGTGGGAGCCCTGGTATTTGAAGAGTGTTGGGTGTAACCATTTCTTGGAAGGTGGGACCCAACCACTACTCAATCAGAAGTACCTCAGCTCCCCTCAAGAGAGAGGATAGGGTCCTCAGAATGTCTCCAGCCTGCTTTGAGCCTGTAGCTGGGTTCTTTCTAGTAGACTAAAATTGTCTAGAGACATCTGAAGTCCAAAGTGAGTTCCAACCCTGGCTATTTCTAGTTTCAATGGTTCTTGAAACATGGACAGGGGTACCCTGATACTGAAACAGCAAGTTACTCTCAGTGCAGGACACTGAGGCCTTGCTGTTGGCCTGTGGCTGGTCATATACCCTGACTGAGGCAATACCTGAGCCACCACAGCACTCTGACCCGAGGTCACTGCCAAGCCTTGCTAGACAACACCAGTGGGCTGACATAGCACTAACTTAGTCACTGTGTTATCATCTTTTAGACAGGTTTCTCATGCTCCCGTACTCTCAACAAGCCCAGAGGCTGACCCAGCAACAGTGACTAACTGTTCTTGCCAATAGGGCCAGAGCCTCAAAGCCCCTAGTACAAGCAGCCTTCACAAGGGACCCAGCCTCTCCTAGGTGCCTTGAGGCCAAGCCAGCGCCCATGGGCTTCCATTCCTCTGTTCTATTCTCAAACAGCTCTTCCTGTGAGGCCCATGTCACTCCAGTCAGGGCCAGAACATGAAGCTGTTTTTTGTTTGGGGTTGGGAGTGATTATAATTTAAGTGATTGTTTTAATAAAAACTCTAAGCTGCTATAGTTTGTCATTGACTATATATTTTTTGACTATATATATTGTATTGGTTTATGTATATTTTGTATGCATGTGTACTGTGTACGAGGCTGTTGCCTGCAGAAGGCAGAAGGTGTCAGATCTGGAACTGGAAGTACACATGGTTGTGTCTTACCAAAACAATGGAGCTCTGTCCCCAGCCCTCCATTTGTATTAGATGACAAAGATTGCTAGTTATAACATCTAGAAGGAGCCTGATTTCCTGAGCAATCAGATCAGGGAAACCACTCTATAAACTGGTCATTTTAGGCTGTTGAAGTCAGTATTTCTACCTGACTTTAAAGGCACCTCAACAGCCCCAGAGTGCTCACTGACAGCCTGGCGTCTCCATCAGCAGAGTGGGAACTGACAGTATTGCCTAATACTTCTGTTGTTCTGAAACACCACGTAGTCCAGGCTGGCCCATCCCTGCCCCTAGAGCTGGGATGACAGGTGTGCATCACTACCTGTCATGCTCTGCCTGACATCTCACTCTGGACGCTGCATTGTGTTTTTATTCTAGCCTGTGATGTCAGGTAGCTGTTGGATCTGGATGCTTCCTTGCGGCATTCTCATCCCAGTGCCATGCTGCCCGCTGCTATCATTGTGGCCTCCCTGCCAGCACTTCCCCCTCTGCCTTGGGCTTCTTGAGTAGGGAGTGCCTGGCAGCTGTCCCACAGGACTGTGTGCCCCACAAGCTGTCATGGGGAGAATCAGATTAGGAGTCACCCATGTGTAATGGAGAGCTGGGAGCTCAAGTCTAGAAGGAGAGAAGGTACCGGCAGAAAATTGCTGCAATCTTGTCTGATCTAATCCCTTGCAGTCTGGAGAAGAGAAAGTCAACTGCCTTCACTCCTGTCTCCCTACAGACAGCCCAGACAGCCTCGCCAGCAAGAGGGCTCTCCCGCCCCTCCCTGCCATGTGGGGCTCCCTGGCAGCCTGTCATTACTGCATTATGACAGGATCCCGAGGCTGCAGTCCCAGCCCTGTAGGGAGAAAGCTTCTTCAGCCATCAGTGTGGTGGCAGGACAGTGGGAGCAAATTATGGGAGCGTTTATCAGCACAGCAAGGTCTCTATCTGACTCAGAGAGGACTCCCGCTGCTTCTCTCCTGCTTCCTCTGGATGCCCATTTCTCATCAGAACGGTGACCCCAGAATAGCACCTAGCCTGCTGCTGCTGGGTAGACTTCAGGGCTGCCTGAGAACCCTGAGGTGGGAGTCAGCCTTCACCTATCAGCTCTGCCTAGATAGAGCACTGCCCTTACCCCAGGGCAGAGTCCTCTGTCACTTCTGTAAAACTGGTTGGCAATGATACTTTTAGAACTCTGGGAAGATGAAGAATGGAAACTGAGTACTCTAAAGCCAGGAGCCGGCTCAGTGGGAAAGACACTCGCTGTTAAGTTCCGTCTCAGGACCCGAGGTAGTAGAAGGAGAAAGCCCACTCTCACAGTTGTTTTCTGCCCTCTACCCAAGCATCACAGTGTGAGCATGCCAGCCCCAATAAATGTACAAGAAAACTTTTTTAAAGTATTCCAAAACAAAAAGTTTTTTAAGTATTCCAATTTCCTCAGAAAAATGTTATACAGGCATGTAACCGAGGTAACCTAATGAAGAAACATTGTTCTTGTTTTTAAACAGGCTCTCCCTCTATTCCAGGGTGGCCTTGAACTCAAGAAAATCCTGCTGCCTCACCTCCCAAGTGCTGAGACAGCAGATAAGTGCTCTCCTTGGAATCTGGATTGTTTTGTTTTTTGAGACAGGATTTTCTCTGTGTAGCCCTGACTGTCCTGGAACTCACTCTGTAGACCAGGCTAGCCTCGAACTCTCGAACTCAGAAATCCGCCTGCCTCTGCCTCCCAAGTGCTGGGATTAAAGGCATGTGCCACTACTTCCCATTTGGAATCTTTTATCCACAGCCTCCAGGATTCTGGGGACACATCTCCTGGCAGAAGAGCACAAAATCCTTTTTGACTCCCAACCCAAAAGGCCTGGGGTTCCACACCTGCTCAGCCATTTCAACCTAGGCGAGTGGTTTTCCTGTGTTGGTGCTGTCCATGGGACTTTTAAAGGGTTTATGGAGATTAATGATGCCTAGAAGCCCCAAACCCACGGTTCTAGATGTGGTCACTCCAGGGTGCCGGCTTTCTCAGAATGGTGCCGGCTTTCTCAGAATGGTGCCTTCTGGAGAGCTGAGGCAGGAGGAAGCAGAGAAAAGAGTCAGGATGACCCCAGAGGGAATCACAGCCCAGAGGCAGCAGGCCTCCGAACTGCCCCATGTGGGCCCCACCCCACCCACCTGCACCCTGAGCTTAATGACCTTGCATCTGGTCTGTGTGTCCTCGATGTTTGCCCAGTGCCAGCTGCAGAGCCCACGAGATGATAGATAGCCTGGCCTGGGGCTGCCCCAGAAGGATGTTACTGTACCACATTAACGCTCTCCACTTGGGTCAATAATTTACTGGAGGCTCAGGACAGGAGAGGCTCTGGATAGCCCATGCTCAGCTCTGCAGATGGAGCTCTCAACCCTGTCCATGGCACCTAGGTTGAAAACCGTGCAGCAGACACTGGAAGGAGTGGCAGTGACCTCATTTTCTCTTATCAGGTATAAGGGAATAGTCTCCACAGAGCCTGCCCATTTCTAATATAAATAATGTAACACACACACACACCTCAATTGGGGAGGAAGGGGCAGCCTTTGATCTGAAGGAATTAAGTCAGTAAACAAAAGCACTGAGTGTGGAGGTGTCTTGTGACAGGTACCTGCTGTGCCATTCACCCTCAGAGTCAAATTCTAACCAACACTGGGTCAGCACAGATTGGCTCGCTCCAAGTTTCTCTTACCTCTGGGATTCCTGGCACTCACCTCTGGGAGCTAAGCATCGAATGGGGCTGCTCCACCCTTTCCTCATCAGAGGTCCTGAGTGAGTGAGTAGTTTTCAGTGGAGAGTGATGCTCTGGGAAGCATGCATGAAAGGCTTGACTGCTCTGGTGTGCCGCTTAGTCCAGGCCTGAGGCCACAGAAGGGCTGCAGGCTGGGAGGAAAGGCTGATAGAGAACGCCCCAGGAAGCTGCTGCAGGCTGAGCTCTGATCCCTCCAGCTCTCTGCTTTAGCTGTACAACCTTGAGTAAGTCTTGTCTCCTCTCTGGCCTCCTGACCCTTGACTGTACAAGGTCAACTTTGCACAAGAACTCTGGGATCCCCTAAGTTTTAATTTCACAGACTGGCTCTCCCAGGCACTATCAATAGTGTCACCATTTGAGGAACTAAAACAATAAAGGAGATAGTCTAGACCCTGGCAGCTTGGCCTGTGTTAAGAATATCCACCTCACCCCAGTCTCTCTCCTAGCCCTACACTCTTTCGACACAGTTTGGGCAGACTTTCCCAGTGCCCTGCCTCTTGAGTCCTCTATCAGGACGAAGGATGGGGGCGGCAGGAGCTGAGCCTTCAGCCAGCCTGCTATGACAGTCATTCTGCTTTGAAATCCACGGGGGACCACGCCCGATCCCCCTCCTCCCTCCACCCTTCTCCCTCCTCCCGGCCTTCAGTTCCCAGGCTGAGATCCCCAGTTCCCTTGACTGAATCTATTAAGTCCTTCATATTAACCAGCGAAGGGGGAAACAGCCCTCTTTCATCTTAAGCGAATGAATTTGCATTAACACCTGGGGAGTTGTGTTTGCCTTGAGAAAGCCCATTGCTATTCTGGGCTGCACATGCCAGCACAGAGTTAGTGGCAGCAGTCTATTCTTTTACTAATACAGCTTTTCTCTCCTCCCTCCTCTTCTCCCATGGAATAGGGTGAGTGGCAGGGGATCCCAGGGTTCCCCATTCCACTTGGGAAGGTCCCTGGATGCCAAGAATGAGAGGCAGGGAGCAGCTCCCAGCTCACTGGGGAAGACAGCTGAGCGCAGCCCTCTCTCTGAGATCCTGGTGCAGCCCTGCCAGCAACATTCCACAGGCCCTTTCTGTGGCCAGGCCACTCACAGTCTTGGCCCAGTGCCCTAAGGAGAACGGGGGTTGGGGGGGAGGTCCAGGAGTTAAGAGCTGCCTGCCACCAACTCAGGAATGGTGCTCATTGGTCTGAGCCCCCCCCAGAGGTCTTCATGTGGAAGTCACAGCTTTCTTGGGGGACCTGACTGGCTTCTACTGAATGTCACCCTTAAGGCCACTGCTTCTGACATATGCATAAGAAATGTTGGGTTTCAGATAGGTATGAATTGGGCAGAGTTTTGCAGGTTTTGGGCTTGGTGATTGGGTTTCCAGAAGAGAAAGGGGGTACAGGGAGGTGTGAATGCCCCCACTGCTTTTTAAAAATTGTTTTCATTTTTTTTGTTTGTTTTTTGAGACAGGATTTCTTTGTGTAGCCCTGGCTGTCCTAGAACTTGCTCTGTAGACCAGGCTGGCCTGGAATTCACAGGAATCTAACTGTCTCTGCCTCCCAAGTGCTGGGACTAAAGGTGTGCGCCACCACCGCCCAGCCTTCTCCCCTCTACTTTTATCTGAGATGGATTGTCTTGTAACTCCAAATCTTCAGGGAGCCCCATCTGCCCCTGTGGCTTCCCTATCCAGGTTAGGCCAGTGAGCCATGGACATCCTGGCTTCAGAGCAAACTCCACCCCTTCACAGTCCCCTGGGATAAGGAACAGGAGGCTGATCTGGGATTTACTGGAGTAGGGACCGGGTGGAAGGCTAGGGTCCACAAGGACCATGTGAGGGTGGCCTGGCCCAAAGAGCTGCTTGGCCTCTCAGCCTCACATCCGCTCTCCAACAAGAGTCAGGTCTGAGCTTGCTACTAGGGCTTGCTGGTTCTGAGCCAAGGCCTGCTGGAGTAGAATATATGAACAGAGGCCTGCTGCTGGGCGGCTATAGAAGGGAGCTATTTGCTTGGACCAGTTGTCAAAGGTGACAGCGTGAGGCAGGAAGGCATGGGCCCCAGAGAGCTCCACACGGCTCTGCTTCCCATTCAGGAGCCCAGGGCAGCTACACCC